TTGTTGTAACATGTTAAAATAATTAAGTGCTAATTATTTGCTTTTTTACACAATCATTTTAAACAAATTAAAGATTTGACTTATATGAAAAAACGTGATGAAAACGTTTCTATACATAGTAGAATAGAAACGTTTCATAAAAAATTAAGTTACTTCCAATAGATTTTTGTAATGTGACATATTTTTTACCATATTTTCAGGATAAGGTTTTGCCATATGAAATATGATATCTAAAAACTACACTTAAATGGAAAAAAAATTGAAATACCTTAAGTCTGCCTCGTCAACTTTATACAGAAACGGGACAATGTAATGTAAATCTATTTAAAGCAAATTTGATACACGCAATTTGGTATGCTGCACTGTTCAAAATGTAATCTCAATCATACACCCGTTCGAAATATATATGAAAGCTATGCCTGCATCTGCACCAATTTTGGAACCAAATATCGTGTCAATCTGACACATATGTGATGTTTGGTTCTCCATTTACCTAAAATCGGACGAAAATATATGGAAGCCATATCTAAATCTGAACCTATTTCAACGAAAGTTGCCAGTGAATAGTTTATATTAACTTCAGTAAATTGTACAAATTTGTGTGACAATCTGAAAATTTACATATGAATGGAAGAAAATATATATGGGAGCTATATCTAGATCTTAACCGATTTTCACGAAACTTAGCACACATCATTCTAGACTTAAATCAGTACACTATGGAAAAATTTTGGTACACTACATAAAATCGGACGAAAATATATGTGGAGCTTTATCTAAATCTGAACCGATTTTCACGAAACTTTGCAAATATCACTTCAGACGCAATTCAGTAGGCTATGCCAAATTTCGTCAAATCGAAAGATATATAGGTACTTTGGTGCGCCAGTTACATTAAATCGGACTAAAATATATATGGAAGCTAAATTTAAATCTGAACCAATTTTTGCCAATTTCAATAGGTGTCCCTGGGCCAAATAAATGAGCTGTGACAAATTTCATCCAATTCGGATCGTAAATCCGACCTGTAATTTGTTTACAATTTAACATCGACTCAGAAAGTGATTCTATGCATATTCTCAAAAAGAACCATGTGTGCATCTCGCAGTCTCTGCTAAATAACATTGTAAATACCATGCTCGGTGGCCAACTTCCACCCATTAAAGCTGAAGATTTACATTTTGAAAACTATGAGAAATTTCAGAACAAATTCATCCCATATTAATTTCTCATTGGCAAAATTATTTCAAGTTAGGACACGCACTTAACGCCCATAAAAAAATACAAAGCATCTGCTTGCCAAATTTGTATATTGTATAAATTTGACAATCAGTTGCATCCTGTGACTCTCCCTCTATTCATTCGAATATTCTTGAGTTCCACAATTTGTCACAAAATCTTAAAAAGTTCAATAAAAATTATTTTGCATTACTCATGAGTCGACATTTTGTCAATTGTAAACACAGCTTGTTGATTTTTGTTAAATAAACATTCATAAAAAATAATTAATGAAATATATATTTTTCATCTAATGTAAATAATTTATCAAAATCCTTTGACCTATTCGAATACTGATTCGACAACTTCAAAAATTGCAACAAGGCAAAATTTACGCATTCATTTATACGCATTAAATACGTTTTATAATTTGCAATTCAATCGACGTAAATTATTTGGCGAGAATCTTCTACGTTTGATATGCCATTTAAAATACTTAATATGATAGATAAAATTTTCGTAAAAATTTTGTGGATTATTTCGTCTTTACTTAATTGTAATTTATTGTTAACGCAGTGATATGAAAGTTGTTTAAATTTTTAAAAGATGTAGGTATTTCTTCGGAAAATGCAAGTTTCATATGGATATGACTTTGGACAAAAAGTAGATTTTTTTTATTTATTTTTTTTATGAATTGAAAATATATTGTGCATGTTATATACTATATATTAAAAAATTGTATTTCAATGACTAAAATTTATATTTGTAGTACTAGCAACAAATATTATTTTGATAAAGTAAATATAGACAATTCTATATTTCACAATTTTCCAAATTTATTAGCAAATCATGTTTGTACAACTTATCTTCAAGAATAATTTTCCATATTTACTTGATATTTAATTAATTACCAAAGGAAAGGCAAATAACATATTTTGCATAAGACTATAAACTATTTAGAAAATGTATTTATATGAACATACATCAATAAAATAAAAACATCATTAATATACGTCAGATGTTCAAATATTTAAATGACTCTGTCAATTTGTTTACCCAAACCGATTCAGGGGACAGCAAGCAAATACATTTTAAAGGGTATTCGTTCAAAAATTATCTGCTGTTCGTTCGCCCGCCCATCAGTTACAATTATCGACACCCATCTATAAATATAATAACTTTGGTTTCATTTCTCAAATTATATTTGAATATCATCTCCTATGTCACATTCTCTGGCCAATGAATGTTCGTTCGTTCATACTACGCGTCTTCTTTATAAAGTCATTCATTCAATTTGTTTGTGCTCCATTCAAAATACCCATAAATAAAAAAAATATTATTTTGTTTTATTTGTAACACATGCAAATTATTTATGCGTACACACATATTCACATACATATTCGAATATGAATAAATACCGCGTGCCAAAGGCATGTTGACAGTGATGTTGATGATGCTCTCTGGTTTGGTCTGGTCAAACGATGTTGACGCACTACTATCATCAGCGTAAGTGGCGTCTTCATTATTATTCTGTATGGTTCTTAATGATAATTATGTATTTGTTGTTGTTATTATTATTGAAGAACAACAACGATCAAGTAAACGAAAAGGTGACAAGTAAATCTAAATATCTTAAGTGCAGATTCAAGAAGTTAAGGCTATTTAAAAATATTTAATGTTCACATATTTTAAGCACTATCTTGGGGTACATAAAAAATGACGTTGGAATATCAAATCACATTAACTTTTCTTACACTCCGATTTAATAATAGCGATAGCATCGTATTAGTCAAAAGCAGTATTGCCCAAAAGACCAGTTATTAAACACTCTGTGATGACGGTGTCCTTGTCACTGTAAATGGCTTCAAGGAGATACGAGGGGTACAATAGACCCCAAAGGAATTGGGGACTACAATAGACCCCAAAGGAATTGGGGACTACAATAGACCCCAAAGGAATTGGGGACTACTTCTAATATTTCGAGGTGTTAGTGTATTGAAACATTCTATAAAAATTATAAACTAAAGGGCCCCATACACTATACATCATGCCGTACAGCATTTATCATAGTATGAGTTATTTTTTGAAAGTTTATTTATGTATGTGTGACACACACAATGCATGAAGAAAATCAAAATAGTTTTGATTTTGAAAATGATCCCCTATCAATCTGGTGAATAATATTCATTTTGAAAGTTGTCAGTAAATAATTTTGTGTAAAAAAATAATAAAATTGTGACGGAATAAAAAACAACTGAATTTACGACTCAAAATGCAATTTTTGGGACAAAAATCGATTTTTTGGAATAGTGATTGAAGAGTTTACCATACACTAGTCAATCTCACATATACAAAAAGGGGTTCATCGGCATGACGGCATGAATTATAGTGTATGGGGCCCTTTAAAGTTTTTCCAAATCATATTCAAACCAGTTAGTTTTGACAATATTTTTAACCAAGTCATAAAATATAAAAATATCTTTGTTTTTTAATTTTGTATGAAAATAGAATGTGTGTCAAGAAACAAGAATGCAATTTCACAGTTATAAATAAAACCAATTTTCAAAGTAAATATTATGGCAACGAATTGAAATGTATTTGGACATAATGAATCAATTGTGAAGGTGAAAGTGCAAAGTTCATATGATTATTATTGCAAAGGGTGGGGGTTTATTTTTGCTAAAACTGAAAAAAGTAACACATTTGTATTGCTGTTGGTGCTTATTGAAGGCGAATTAAAGTGAATTAATAATAGAATAGGATTCTGGCAGTAAACAAAATAAAACAAAGAAATTCAAATAAAAAAGAAATAATCGAACTGTATAAAATGGCATAAAACGAAATTTACAGCAATTCATTATTATTCCCATAAATATTCGTTATAACTACACCATTTTATTTAGAAAATTAAAAAAAATATGCCACTACATTTCTTTGAGAAAACACATAAAATTAAAAACATTTTAAAATGGAGGTCTATTAAATAATTGATTTGTGTTTAGCCACACAAAATTTTCATTACAGTTTAGTTTTTGTTTTCTTTTAGAAATTCTACAACCAAAAAGAGTGATAATTTTTTAAATTCAAAAACAACCAAACAACATTTAAATAAAATTCAAAACATATTTCCAAATCCATCTAATTGTACTTGGTGTTGTTAATATTTTTCTTTTTTTTTTTGTTGATAATAATTTTGAAATACATTTCCAAATAAACACATTTAATTGTACGTTCATTGGGTGTTGTTGTTGTTTTTTGGTTTTTTGAACATAAAACAAATTTTGTTGTTTTAAATAATTTTAAATTCAATCCTAACCTCGCCGCTCAATAAATCCAAATCAGCAGATGCGGCATGTGATGCCGTTTTAATAATGTTGTAGGTCTTGGCAAATGGAGCCTTAATTAGCTGATTATATTTTGATGGTGGGGGGATTAACATACACATATAAATATAAAGAATGATTCCGAAAAAAGGTAAAACAAAAAAATTAATTTTTTATAAAAACAATCAATTCATTTTGTAATATTTCTTCCTTTGTAATAAAAAATTTTTAATATTGAAAAAAAATTATTAGAAATTTTGTAAAGCGGCTTAAATAAAAGATTTCAATATTTATATATAGTATATGTATATATAGTAGTAAGTATAAATAGTAGACATTGAAAATATTTAGAAAATAAAACTATTGAAATTTATCAAAGAGAATTTTGTTTGTTTTTTTTAACCTATAAAACTTGTAAAGCTTCTCGAAATGTGATTAGAAAATAAAATACCAACTTACCTCCCATGATTCTCGGGTAAGATCACTAACTTCACCCTCTTGACTGCCGGTACGTGTTCCCGACTTTGTAGTGCCACTTTGTGTCCATTCTGTGTCGTCTTGTATTAATTCAAAGCCACGAGCTTTAATTTGTTCCTCATCTAATTCACCATAGAGATGTGAAACCCAGGTATTTATGAAGCGGTATAATTCGTCAACACTGAAAATTGCGAAAATATATACGTTTTCAATTCGAAAGAAAAAATAAAATGAAATATATCACACGATCGGGATCAACTACTGATATTGACCAATAATTTAAATATAATCTATTCTATGAAAGATATATATTTCTGAAGGTACTAAAACGAATTGCAAACCAATAAAACTTAAAGACAAAAATTTGTTTTTATAATCCTTCGGATGTTACGAGCAGTTTTAGAAGAAATATAGGCAGACCTGACCAGTACATGTATTTTAATTTCGCTTTTTTATTTTTATTCCATGTTTATTGTTCTCTGTTGTTGTTTTTAAAACATTCGGAAAAGGCATTATGGACATTACAATATCTGTACATAAACTTTTTGCATTTCATCCCGTCTGTGAATTTTTCATTAGTTGTTACTTACCGATTTTTAGGTACACTAAACCAATATTCTGGTCTCAATTTGTTTTTGCCATACGACATTACCGATGTTGGCAATGGTATAGCTTTACCTATCGGTTTGCCCATGCGCAAGCGCAAATATAGTGGTGGATCTGGGCAAGCACGAGCCGGTCTTGGTATAAGTTCTATAAAAAAATAAATAAAAAATACATAAAATTAATATTTGTGTTATAAAAAATAATAAAAGAGATTATTAGATGAACATGCTATGGAAATACTTTAAAATACATATGTACAATAGGAAGGCATTTGGGTGTTTATATACTTAAATTCTCTATATAAATATATACATTATCTATAATTATGGGATGCTACAGGGGGGTTTTGGAATTTATAGGCATTTTATTATTATGTATATATTACACCAAATTATTAGGTTTATATTGAAAAACGAAGTATTTATGTTTGATATTCGGTATTATATCTACAATACTGTACGTACATAAATTTTTGGTATATTCAATACTTTTAAAAAAAATAATATGAATTACATATATATTTATAATAGTGAATAATAAACGTACCAACTATATCGAAATTTGGAAAATTTGGTGCCCGTACTATATGGAATCGTGATGTGTTCGTGATGATTGTTAATTGGTGATAATAAAATAGGTGTTGTGATTGATTTTGTTTTTTTTTTATAATTTCAATACAAGACAAAAATCAATACTATTAATATATATGAAATAAAAATAAATCTTTTTGCGATAATATTTTGTAAATACTAAAACGACAATGACAATTTTGAAATAAATTTGCAAAATATGAAGTTCGCCTAAAAGTATGCTAAGAAAACTGTAGTTCAAATCTTTATGTCAAATAACCAATTAAAATGTCGTTTTTCATATAAGGTAAGAGTTGTTGTTGTAACAGCCCTACAGCCAAGTGAATCTTCGTTTCGTTTCGGGTCGTATACCCATCTGTGGGGCAAAAGTTGTAGTTAAAGATTTTGTTGCATACATATGAAACCGAGTTTTACATAAATCTGCTGCACTAACTGATATAATTTTTCCCTAAAAATGATTATTGGTACATATTGGAATGAAATTCTTAAGGAAAATGTTTCTAAGATTGGTCAAAGATTAGCGATATTCTTTTCACTAATTTTCTTATCCTTTCTAAAAGCAGAACCTCAGTTTACTATGAACAGTTAGCGTGGGAGTGCTTTGGAGAAAATGGCCTCTAAATAACATGCGTTCATCAATATATACATTTTGCAAAAATGGTACAGATTAAATTCGAACGTAGCACAGTTTATACTTGGATAGAACAAGTTTTAGCTTTAGTTATTACGTTGGTTATTACGTTTTTGACTATGTTTGATGATCTGTTTGAGAAGCTGTCAGGAAATATTCCGCCATCCAATCTCCGTCACAGATCATTAATTTCATTTCAATTAACAATTTGCCTTGTATCACTGTTCCCAACGTCTCTTTGATGCATTTACATGAAGCTGTCTCTTCAATTTTATCATCCTCTTTTTGTAGGACTATGAAGGCCACAATTCTTCAACTAAATATAGATAGGAAGGACTAAAAAACAGAAATAACTATTTGGACTAGAATATGAAAGCAGGATATTAAATACAGAATGCCGGGAAACTATTTTATTAATAAAATCCTAGTTAAAAACTACAATTACTTTAAACTATCTAATTTAATCTTTTCAACTTTAAATATGCAATCAATAATAAGGGGCCTTTACGCAGTTAAGACTACAATTAAATAAATTTTATGTAAAAAAATTTTTTTTGGACTAAAATGCAGTATAAAAACTTTAATCTACTGTACTAAAAAAGAAAATGAATGTAAAATAAATGTTAAACCAAGGAAAACAGAATATCAATACTTACTGTCAACACTGACAAATAGACCCGGTTTGTCATCTACTGAAACCATAGAACGATAATCCAATTTAGGCTGTGGTTTGGTATCCTTTAATTTTGTTGTAGATGAAGTGCCTTCCGAAGATAGAGGGCGTATAAAGGTGCCAATTGAGGAACGTCTAAAGTAATTATAACAAAAGGCATTAGTACAATTGAATTGTAATTGAAATTGGTTAAACATAGTGGAACATCTCTACTAAACATAGAGGAAAGAAAGGTGGTACACCAAAAAGTAATGTACATAATAGATATAGGTAGGTAGGTTTTGTAATACAGTAATATATATATATATATATATATATATATATATATAAATGATATACGAAAAGCATGATGTTTATAGGAGTTACATATTTATATATCAAAGGAGGTGAGAAATGGAAATTCGCATTGTTTTGAAAGTATTTAACATGGCAATGGTATAGCATAGATGAGGGCGAGAATAGATGAAAATGAAGATTGCAATGATTTCAATATTTAATGAATATTCCATGACAATATAATGATGATTGCAATGATTTCAATGTTTGATGTAGAGAAAGTGAAATTCATATGAACAAATGATACCTAATTTGAAATTACATTCGAAAGAAATGGCAAAACAGTGGTGCTCGTCTAGCTTTAAGAAAATTTTAATTGGTGGATATATATTCAAAAAAGGTTTACATTATGTTGTTACAAATATTGATTTGTTGATTTGAAATTAATTTTAAAAATGTTCTCTTTTTCAACAAAGGCATACATACAAGTTTGAAAATAGTAAGGTAAAACAACTAGGAAGTGATCAAACATTTAAACTTTTTCAGGCCCTAAAATTAACACATTATGATTTCTTACCCAGTCGAATAATGACCCTCGGAATGAGTCGAATGTGGTGTCAAAGGTGGCACCGGAGAGCCACTCGAATCTTCGGACGGTGTTTTAGAAAATAAATTGCCACCCAACTCTGAGACCAAAGTAATGGGCGAACTGATTTATTTTTTTCAATTTGTATTTGTGTGAATTGTGTTGTTGTTTCAATGACATTATCAATAAAACATTCAAACCATACAAGTTGTGTAGTAGGGAGGGGAGTGGTAATATAATAAAATATATCAATGCAATAATGTGTATATGGGGGGTGTAGTTTGTGTAAAAAATTAAAATAATTTGTATGTTTGTTTGAAAAAACAAATGAAAATAAATTTAATAAAAATGGAAAATGTAAATTGGTGTTGTTTTTAAAAGGCCGAATCCAAAATATGAAAGCATTTTTTTGAAAGTTAAAAAATAAAATAAAAGGATTATTGAAAAAAATCGAGATGAAATATTTTTGATTATTGCAAGCGATCAAAATATTAGGTCATATTTTACATACCTTGAGAATACTTTTGAGAATACACTTTGATTGGAGTCCCCAGTGTTGGGAGCCGACTCATTGTCTTGTGACTTGCCGCCCACACTGCCACCAGTAGCTGGTGCAGCACCATCACCAGTAAGACCTTCAACCCATGTCAAGGGATATGATAAACGTTTCAACATCTGCTCATGAGAAAATAATTAAAATATCCATCTTTTTTCTTGAGATTTTTACAACCCACCTTATTTTTCTTTTCAGCTGCATTTTTATCAGCCTGATTTTGAGCCTGAGCCGCCGCTGCTACTTGATTTTCATTGTTATCATCGACACTGAAACTTACGCTCGATGTCTTCTTGCGAGCACCAGCTACTGCACCAGCATCTAGGCCACTGGTACGTGGAGGTGACTCGCCCAGTGGTGTTATCGATGATATTGGCTTTGGTGGCACCCAGTCAGAGCTTAATACAATATCGGCATCACTATATACTGTTTTCTTTGGTATGGGTTGAACATTTGGTATGGGATCACGTATATCGATGCCAGAATCATAGCATGATTGTTTCGATAGCTGTTCCAATTGTTCCAAATCGGCGGGATTGACAACGCCACTGGCTAAATTGGCCATAATACCGCTGATTGATGAAGTGGCCGAATGTGGTTCCTGACCACGGGCGCCACTATCAGCCGTCGTATTCGATTCATTGTCGCCCTCATCTTCCGACGATCTTCGGGAATTAGATAAACATATTCTATAGTTGTTGGTGGTGGCAATAGTTTGGTTTAAGGACATGTATAATTGTGTTGGTGGTGTTGGATACAAAATAACGTAATAATGTTTGGATGAGATTTCATTTAAGCGGGTCCCATAACAAAAACCGGAATTTAGTCAGCAGGATAATGGATGTGTGTATTTGTTTTTTTTATTATTATTTATATACAGGGTGCAGCGAGTTATTTGACAACAACAAAAATTTGTATAATTACAGTGCAAAAGGTATGACGATGTTGGTGTATTAAAATAAAAAAAAAATGAAGAGAGAAACAAACAAAACATAAAATTAAAATATTGAGTAATATTTAAATACAAAATAAATATAAATATCAATAAATAAGTAACATATAAATATGTGAAACAGTGTATACAAATATAATTTTGTTGAACATTTGGGACTTCATCTGCTACAAATTGTAAATTGATTATTTTTTGTGGAATTTAATTTTTAACTACAAAATTTATTTAGTTTCTATTACAAAATCTTGGCCGTAAATATAATATGTAGAAATAAGATGACATTAAAAAATTTTGATCATTTAAAATTCCGCAATAAAAGATAAAGGCGGGTTATCTACTGCTAATCATAGTGCAAAGCTCCTAGAACTACAATTGTACTGAATGTTAGTGTTCTCTTAGGTGACGATCTCTCGATCCTCTTCTCAAATTAAATATTATTCATAATTAAGACTGGACATTATATGTCAATTCTCATATTGGCGTTAGCAACTCCTACAACATAGTCTACTCTAGTTAATTATTCCTTTCCGTTATATTAATATCAATAATATTGAGAACCTCTAACAAAATAATTAACAGTCAAAGTAGTTCTTCTCTCAATTAAATATGGAATAAAACATATATTCTATCATTTGTGTTTTAGAAAATAAATTGAATAAACCATGACACTTTTTTTCTTTTTAAAATATACAAATAATACGTCACCGAGATCCATAAATTTTGATTAACATTCTTCAAATATATGAAAGCAATGAACAGAAGCAATATATATTTTTATGACAAATCTGAGCAGTGGCAATAAAACAAAATATCAATAATAAATTTTAAAATAAAAAAAATGGTATCAAATAAAAATGTGACAAACATTTTGAACAACCCACCACAATTTTTTTCTTTGATTATTGATAAGATCAGAATTGATCAGAAACACAAATAAAATGCAAGAACATACCTATCTTTGCTGGGTATGGCCCAGTGATGATCCAATAGACTTTTACGTCTCTCTTCTAAGGTGGTACGAGAATCGCTAACGTTGAGATTTTTTTTGGCTTCATCGTCCTCGGTTTCATTGGTACCAGTACTGGCGCCATCGCCATCAGTCTTCGAACTTTCTTTGGCTTCCGTAGATTTTTCATCATGTTTCTGTGTATAAGGAAATTTGATTTAAAATTTATTCTACCTAATAGAATAAATCACAATTACCTCTGAACAAATGGACTCCTGATCGTCGGTTTTAACCTTCTGTTCTTCTTTGTCTTTTTCATTATCTTCCTCTGTTGACTTTTTGCCGTCCACGGCATCTGCACCTTCTCCCTCGTCTCCACCCTCTTTGGCCTTTTGGGCATCTAATACTGATTTGGGATAATAGATTTCAGGTTTTTCTGTTGCATTGGAGTCAACGGTGACTCCACCCGATACCCGCATATGAGCAATATCATGAAATATGGCAGCATTTACGCACAATTCCATTGGTGCAATAACACCATAACTTTCTGGACCATGCTCGATTACCAATGGATCGGAGACATTTGGATCGAACATGACAGCATTTGGTGTTACCAATAGGACGCCACCCACAACACCCTGGCCATCGGTTATGTGACGTACATTGATTTTAAGGAAACGTTGTGTAATAACTGGATCATTGCCACCATCGGCACGACCAGCTGGATCAACACGTTCAATGTGGCCTGGTTTGGGTGAACCGGGACGTAAACTATCCAAAATATCTGTAAAGGAAGAGAGAGTCGTATGTATATTTGTTAATACAAAAATAGGAATATATGGCATATTGTTTTTAAAAACATTTTTTTCTGCAGTTGTTTTTGTTTATCTTTTAATTATAAATATATTGTCCATTGTAGGTGAGGGCATTCTTTTTATTTTTTATAGAAGGTGTTTCTTAAAAAATATGATATTTTTATTTACTAATTTCTATGATAAGATAAGCAATATTTGAACTTTTTTGTTTGTTTGCTCCGAAAATAAGTGTTAAAAGAATATAAAAATACATTTAAAGGAAAACTATGTTTTAGGTAAGCAAATACAAATATTATGTTTTAAAACATAAATGAATTTTTAATTCCGAAACTACATTGAAGATGTTATTCTTCATAATTTAAAATTCTGTTCTTTCGTGAAATTTCAACATTTTATATCCAGACTATAACATCTGGACTAGGCTAAAATAAATAAGTTCGAGATTTTTAATCTAGTTATAGCCTGAAATACATCGATATCAACTACAAAATACATTAAATTGGGAAGAACTGTTTGCATATGCAAAAAATTTGAGTTTTATCCCAAATTGGCTAGAATTGCGCTTGGGGCATTTAAAAATCTTGAGGTACCATTTTATGGCAGCTATTCTAACACGTGTAACAAAATTGTTAAACCACGATAGTATTGAAGACTTTAAGAGATTTAACCGAAACAGCGGTTGTTGTTCAATGAATATTAACAAGTTAATAATAAGAAAATCTTCAGAAATCAAGAAATATACTTTTTTATGATCAAATAATTGACATCATGTTATTTATGTGCTATTCTTGACCCTTTAGGAGGACCGGAACTAATTTTCAAAGTGCTAATTAATAGATCGTGTGGCATGATTTGTATAGTACTCCAATTTTTACCAAGTACCAGAAACCCATTTGGATATTTTTTTTGTATATTTTCCATACATAAAAATAATTGTACGTTGCCATGGTAAATCCATTGATTCTTAGTGAACGTCGAGTCATAATTCTTTAACGTCATGCGATAACAATTTATTTTGATATCCACTGAATGATTACGCTACAGTGAAAATAATAGAGGGGTGAATTGAGGGGGGACACCTATATCTGAAACTATACACATATTGTGTTATTTTTATAATACCCAGCAATGTGTAAAACAGGTTGTTAAAATAAATATTTAAATAAAAGGTTTGCTAACACCCACACCAACACTTGGCTTGCTTGCTGTTCCGGCCTCCAGCTGTGGTAAGAGACAATTTAAAATGAAAATAGAGGGCAAATCGAAAATAGGTCACTACTGATAACAAAAATATGTAGCGGCAAGCAAGCTGCTTACAATTTCCAACTAACAGTCAAGCTGGCGGACTCTGTGATAAGCCACTTGTGCAAAATATTATCTGGCCGAATCTGCTGTGGAAAATGTGATTGTCGTAAAATCAGTTAGAAGTTCAGTTGGTTTGTTTATTTAATTTAAGATAAAAACTTTCATATTTAATCCAGGTACTCCGTGTGCTACTGAATTCACGTAGGCCCAATCCCCTCTAATAACAATGCAGCAGTTCACTTGGGCATTATGCTCAATAACACTTAATAATGTGGTGGACAGCCTAAGTATGGAATACTCATTTTGATTGAAAATAAACGTTATACCCTTAACACCTAACATCGGGCTACATCAGTTGATGATATAAATTGTTGTTGTTGTTAAGACCAAAACAAATACATTCTCACACACTCAACCATCAACAACAGCACATTCACCGCTTGCGTATCACAATATTAATTTCTTCTTGACTTTTAAATATCTTAATTAAAAGTAAATATAAAAATAATTAAAGAAATAATTATAAAAATATATGAGTGTGTGTTTGTGAAGAACGTCACCTCCATTCCGCCAAAATACAGCCGTATGCATTGTTAAGAGTTAAATGTTATTTTCTTATTCCAGTCGTCACTTTTTTGATTAATTTTTATATCAACACCGTTTGTTTTAATGTTTTCCAATGTTCCTTGACGTTGTTAACATTCAAAAAATTGCTTATATTTTTGTACAATGTAAAATTGACATAAACTACTGGGTCTTATTTGTTTAGTGGCACTTTTTCGTTGTTTAAATATCGTTTATTTCTCGTGAGAAAATACAAAAAAAAATCAAGAGCACGTCAACAAGGCAAGAATTACAGCAGAACAATAATAAACATCCATATGACATATGTCATTCCTTTGGGGGGGAATGTGGTGTTGCCATATGTTAACATAATGTCATACCATCACACAACACAAACAGCTGTTGTGTGTTAGATAGTTTGTTTGAGAAAATAACCAACAGGTGGCGGTAATTCATGATCAAAGGTATGGGGCAAAATCTTTGAATTATGAATTATTTTAAGTTAAAATAATTTTATTTAATATTTGTATGTTTAAAAAACAACTAGTGGAATGATTATGATTTTAATGATTTTATTTAAATTAATTATTTAAATTAATTTGACACAAAATAAAGGGAACATTTGAAAAAAAAAAAAATGATTAACAGAACAAAACTGATTTTATAAATTATTTTTTTAATTCCACGCTTCGGCAAAAATTTTTGATAGTAAATTTAACAAGAAAACAGCCGTTTCGCTGTGATCTTATTAAAAATATTGAATTGCATAGCATGCCAAGCCAACCATGTTCCAGTCTGTAACACCATTTCAAATTTATAAAGGTAAATTGTGTATACATACGGACATTACTTTATGAATGAACATACTTTACTTTAGGAGTGTTCGTTTACTCAATAATATTGTGACTCGATGTTGTTCGTTTACGCAAAAGTTAGAACTTGCGTTACTGAGTATTTGCATATTCTTACAAGGAAAAATTATTCAGTAAATAGAGCCAGCTGATATGTAACGAGCTGTTTCGTTCTGAACAAACAAAATAGTTAAAACGGCATTTACATTAGAACTTTTTACAAGGTTAACCTACTCTATGAAGATTTATATGACAAGTATACAATGGAATTGACAATTGAAATTGGGTTAACGAAACCCGGTACAATGTAAACGTACTATTAGTCTCAAGAAATTTGAATGTTCGTAAATTTTATTTTGATTTTGTATGATTAATCATCGAAATGCATTAAGAAAACGCAAGTACCAATAAAAATAATTGTTCTCTTCCAGTAATTTTTAATAACAAAGCTAGTAAATGGAAATAATGTCTCTCAGAGTACAAAATAATTCGAAAAGTTCGTTAATTCTTCAATATTAGGGTCGTGCCTAAGTTCATGCGTATGCACCTCAAAAGTTAAATACATGTATTCCAAATACGCATTGCGTATCAAAATATAAAGTTGAAATTGTTCAACATTGACAAAAAGTCCTTGCGTATTTGGGTAATACGGACGTCTAACAAATCCTATAAAGGTGAGAATTTTTGTACGGAGCGCAATAAATTAGGTACGACCCTTAGGTGACAGTACTTCAAAATCAACACAACAGCTAATCAAAAGATGACATTCCTGAAGTAATATTTTTTTAAGAGAATGAAAATTTTCGATTTTTGAAGATTTTGTCCAGCAATAAATTTATTAACATTTTCTGTATGAATTTATGTAAAAAAAAAATATGATTCGTTGTGTTTTTGCAAAATATTTTTCACATATCATTGTACTACAACAGTTGTTTATTGTAGAAAGAGAACGGCATTTTGGTTTGGGGTTCTACAAAATATGGTGGAAAATTTTACTAAAGGAACGGTTGTGGGGGAAAAATTCAAAACTTTTTAAAAATAGTAGATCATTTTAGTTTGAAAATAACCTGTTAAAAAACTAGACTGAACTGGCCACAAACAGCTGATTACAAATCGATTCAAGTTACATGGAATCTTTACTGCGTAAAGATTCAGAGTAAGAATGGATAAACATTCAAATCTGGTCTTTGCATTTACTATCTTTTACTGGGCATTTTGGTAAACGAGCAATATCCACCAAAAATTTGTACAAATTATTTAGTAAACGAACATTCCTAATGTCAATAGTGGGATTTTCTAAATTAAAAATATTAATAATAATAATTTTGGCAACAAATTGCTTCTACGAAAATTCACCTTTTTTATATAATTCTAGAGTAGCTATATAAAGCGGGTTTGGATACAAACAATTCAAATAAATTCAATTCAAAAATTAATTTTGTGCATTACCCCCAATTCCAAAACGTTCAATTTTGTAGGTATATTTGAATGTGTATTTAATTTTCTAATACTAAAAAAAAATAATAAAACAATAAATAACTTACCATCAGCATCATTTTGTTCATCGACCGATAATTTACGATCAACTGGACTCGATTTGCCGGAAGCAGTTGAACCACCTGCTTTATCATCACCCGAACTGGTCGATACATTATCCTTGGCACTTTTGTCCGGTACCAACAGCTGTTGACCGGGATAAATGAAAGAACTGTTCAAACGATTCAAATGTGTCAGCTCAGATGGGGTCGTATCGAAACGGGCTGCAACCGATGTCAAAGTGTCACGATTGCCCACCGTATAATTAATGGTGGGTATAGTGGGTAGTGAGGATTTCTTGCGTTCATCTGAAAGATAGAATTAAATGTGGAAAGCATGAAAGTTATGGAACATCGAATAGATTACGACATACTACATAGATATGTTACGGTTAATTTGATTTGTTGTTATTATTACTTGTCACTTCGTATGTTGTTGTTGTTAGTAGAGTCTGCTCGAATATCCCAAAATCTTGTGGTAAATCATGCAGAAGCCAGGCGTCAGAATTTTCATGTCGGAATTTTGTTGTCAAATAGACCACAATATAGTCATATGCATCGACCAAAGCCAAAGGGTTTTGATTTGGTACAAGACGGCGATAAATTTGTATCGTTTCCATTGTGGCGATTAATAATTTTATTCCTTTTTTCAGATTTCCATTTATTGATATGTTAATTGTTGGCCGTTTTAGTAATAAATATTGTTATTTGTTTATTTATTCTCGATGATTTGAATGATAAAAGGTAACCGGCCAAACATCCGAACAATTGTGTGTGAAACTCACATTTGAAACACTTGCAAAGGCACTTAATTTTTTTGGATTGCTCATTCACTCACTCACTCTCTCTCTCTCTCTCTTTTATTTTTCTTCGACACTATCAAAAAAACAATAACGATCGAGCCTCTTTAGCATTTAATGTTGAGGCCATGCTATGGCCATGGAGACTTGTAATAAATAGAGGTGTCACGAACATTCGCATACAATTTTTGCATATCTTTAAATGGGACAGACAAACATATTAAAAATGAAAATAACAGAAAAATTTACTAAAGAATAGTTACAGAGAGAGAGAGAGCACGAGATATAAAGAGCAAAAATATATTATAAAAATCATAACTGATAAAAAAAAATTATTCTGTGGGACTAAGAAGTGCTTTTTTACTTTAGCTGTGTACATATTTTTAATTATTAGTTATTTTAAGAAGATCCGTTTTGCGGATTTCATTTCTGCAAACCGCAGAAACTGTATATGCGACAATAATAACAGAATACTTGAAATTTAACTGATTACAAGACTTATTTTTGCAATGCATTGCTTAGATATTATCGATTTTATTTTGTAAGTAATTAATAAGTGATTAATTAATAACAGAAAATTCGATAATATCATATAATAATAAATACGTTTTCAGGCGATTTTTTAATTTAAAGAACGCACAAAAACACAGTACTAAAAATTACAACATTCGATCTAATTCTGGTAATTCCAAGATTTACTACTTAGTTCTAGGCCAATTTTGTCTGGCAGCAAATAGGAGAACAGAACACCATTGTTGATTTGATTCTCGTAAATGTTGCTCGAATTTTCGCCAGTTTTCGGGTTGAGGGAATGCTTTTCAACTTTCGGTATACATTTACATGTATGCTTTTAAATCGACTCAATAAACAAAATCCAGTAAAACGATTTAACTGTTAACACTTGACTTTGATTATAATCAAGATAATGTCACCCAGCTAAAATTTGGTAATTGCAGCTGATATCCAGCTGATCTCCCTTGATGACCTTATTAATAGGCCTTGATTATAATCTAAATAACATTTTGCTCATGATGCTATAATAAGGTGATGTATCAAAACAAAGACATTTGTTTTTATCCCGACCATCTGTCAAAATTTTCCATATAATATTTCACATGGTTGGCAATACTGCACATCGAATTCAAGTAGAAATTACCCACTTTGACAGTTAATTTAATGACAATAATAAGGTGATGTATCTTTGTTTTTATATCGCTAAAAATTTTCCATATAATATTTCACATGGTTGGCAACACTGCACATCGAATTCAAGTAGGAATTACCCACTTTCAATGTGCCATGATTTAGCTGATGTTTGTTTTGAGTACTAGAGTAGTACAGTTCACGAACGGACTAGTTCAAATGAACGATTCATTGAAAAGAGCGACTGAAGTAGGTCCTACAAAGTTATATTTTTTAATATTTTCATGATTAAAAGCAAGTAATTTTTAAATTCTTCTGAAACATTTCATCAACATTCTACGTTTTATAGGTCCATATTTTTTTTTTTAATTTCACGCTCTATTGGTCCATAAATACTTCTGAAACATTTCTTTAAAAATCTTCGCCATATAGGTCCATTAAAGACTATGACATTGAACAAAACATTAACAAAATGTTATTCACACAACATAAAGCGGAATTAGATATAACATTTAATCATGATTAAAAACTGAACCAGGGTTTATTTTCTTAATAAGGCTGAATTCACCATGATTTATCATACAAATTTATATCATGTACGCAATTTTTATTTTAAATAAGAGTCGAAATAGTAATATTAATGACATTCAACGCTGATATAAATCATATCAATTCCACAATGTCGTGATCGTTGGAAAGTAAAATATCACTATTGAACACTAGTTACAGAGATCAACGAAATATACTAATAAAAATATTACAGAACACGAATATGATATAACAAAGACTGCTAATGTCTAAGAGTGTTTGCAAGTAATTTAATCTAGAAATATTGGTAGGTCAGATTATGACGTAGGAAAGTCATGAAAAATTTTGGAAAATGCATATCCCTAGATACAATCCCATCTTCGTTAAAGAAAATGTTCATATAAGCAGATTAAAGGGGGAATCACATACGACAATTGATCGATTTTGAAAAACTGTTCTATTTTAATCTTTTACATTAAACAATGTCAACAATGCCTGGAGTCATCTTATGTGGTCCCCATTAATACTTTAAATTTCTACACACACTTTGTTTGTTTTTTTTTGCGCTTTTATACTTTTGGCAACTATTGAATATAAAAACAAACAACATGTATAAACAGTTGCAAATTTTGCTTCATTGCGAAAGAAATTTATTTTTTCGCACCAAAACTGCATTGCACCTCATGATTCAAAATAAACCCTCCCGCAGTATGATTTATATTTATTTGGTAAATAATGGCTAATTCAGCGAGATTAAGAAAATAAACACTGATTCGGTCTTTAATCATGAACAAGAGTTATATGTAAACCTGCTTTTAACATCAGCTGGCAGCTTTTTTAAATTATCTGAGAGACCGCAGACAACATTTGGGTGCACTTTAACGATTCAATTAGAAACAATTGTTAACTGGAACACTGACAGCTAAATAAATGAAATGTTTTGATATGCTTTCAATGAATTTGACACTTAAATGACACATCTGTTATTAAACATATTCAATGTAAACACTGCCTAAGACAAAAAAAAAAACACTGCATAAACAATTCACAATTCCCACAGACGGTATGTAAAAATTCCACGGTGGCTAATAAATACGATTATGTTATGTTCATCAAATAAAAAACAAGTGCATCGAGGAGAGTGACACCACTTTCCGGTACAAATCTCATCAAAATACAAATTGATCTATGTAGCCAGTTTACAACACACAATTGCCAACAATGACTAATTGACAGCAGCGATCTTTAAAACAAACAAAAATATAAACAAAACGCGACACAGTCCCAACGACATTGTAAACGAACGAAAGAGCGCGTTCAAACTGATTAATTGTCGATTTGTTGTATTGTGCTAGCGAATATGCGGCTGCCCTCCTGATAGGTTACGTTCCAGCAAGCCGGCACTCATATCACGATATCAACACATTCTCTCAGAATTTGAGATGGTATTTGTTGTTGTTGCTGCGGTTTTTATTTTTGTTTGTTTGCATATTTCTGCTGACATTTGCATTCTGATTGGGATAGTTGTAAATATTTTTTTCTGTTCAGTTCTAATAAGCATTCCTCCACTCTTTATTAGTAAGAATGTCGTTTTGGTAAGCGGACACTGTCATAATTTGAGTATTGAATTACGCTTAAAATGTATACAAGAGTTGTATTTTTTAATTTAAAATTTCTATAAATTTTGAGTTTTTACACACACACACACACACTTTGCTTTCAAAATTATTTTCCCCGTTCACTTTTTAATGCGCTTTTACATTGCATTCCCGAATAAAAATATAGAAATGATTGATTATAAATTGATTTGTTGCTATCATTTGCAGCGTTTGTCTGCAGCTTTAAAGTCTCGTGATAAGATAAGATTTAATTTAACAAATTGTTCTTACATTACATTTACACGTGGGTAGTTATTTGTTATTTATAGTGTTATATATAAACCACCATATATTTATTTATATCGAATATATTTCTACTTAAATGAAAGAACACGTGGGATGTATTTGTTTTAAATAATTAATTTTATTTCAATTTTAGTTCCGGTGTGAACATGATAAAATCAGCAAGAAATGTGGATGTATGTGGTTGCACGCTTTTAGCTTTGTTTTTTTTTGTACTCTATAAAAAAAGAAAAATGATAACATTTATTGCTGAACGACGGTAGCAGTCGTTAGAAAAACTATTTGAGAGTCAAAACACTTGTCGACATTGTTCAAGTTCACGTAATTATTTACGAACTTAAAATACTGATATTTTTCATCAGCTGACTTTTGTTTACATAAAGAGTGTGCTAAAATAGTATTCATGCATCTATCAGTTATTAAAAATAATATCAAATATATGAAACAAAATATTTAGTTTTGAATATCTTCAAAGCCCGTTTAAGGGAACATTTATACCGAACATGTTTTATGATAAATCATCATTGAATTGTCGTTTAAATTGTCCTTTTCTGTGTACATATAAAAGTCAAATAAATGTCTAGAATTTATAATTTTCACATTTGAAAATTGTACATATCTTCTGAAACGTATGGAAAGGTGTATGCTTCGAAATGTTATAGAAACACATATAGAAAAATGGAAGCAAATATTCACATTTCAGGGTTAATCAATGGCATTGACAATGTAAATGAAATGCTTTATAAAACGGATCTGATGTGAATGCGAGCTGAGTATACTACTATATTCACACCAAACGTTTATTTGTCTTAAACTGGATTTATATATAATAAAGTCCAAAGGAATCGGGCCATAATTTTCTTAATAATACCGAATTTTCCAAGAAACAATTACAATTGGTCTGTTCCCGTACTGCAAGAATCTACTAGATTTTAGTATTTTCTTCGATAACATAAAGGAAAATTTGTTATCGTAGTAAAAAGTAGTAGATTCTTGCAGTACGGGAACAGACCAAATATATTAAAATAAATTTGTTCACACGATTTGATTTACATTCAAAATAACTTATAAATATTAACTTATTTCTAACAATCATACATTTATTTAGGAGATCAACTACTCTTACAAATTTAAATCATCTTGCGGCAGGGATTTTTTTTAATCTTGAAAGAAGTCACGATACTAATGCAATGCAACACAGTTTTTGTACGAAAAAAATACATCTCTCTTACAATGAAACAAAATTTGCAACTGTCTTCACAAGTTGTTTATTTTTAAATTCAATAATTTTTAATGGAATTGCTTAATTGTTTATAATTTTATTGTCACAATTTTTCTTATCTTTTTCACATTGCAAACAAATATTTTTGGCGCAAATTGATAATTTTGTATGTATACTAACAAAGAACAGCTGATTGACATTTAGATCATGATGAAATGTGTGTGAAAACATTGAGTGTGTATTTCGTTAATCGAGTGGATTTAAAATCGTTTATGTAAATGTACTTAAAATCATAATACATTTATAGAGATTTACTATTTTACAAATTATAATCTAATTTTCAATTTATTTTAAACCCTGATCTAAATCGCAGTACTAATAAAATGCAATACAGTAAAATTTGAATTACTAAATTTTCCGGATTATAAAGGCTTTTAAATGGATTTAAATTTTTATAATTTTTGTGATAATGTAAATGGTTTGGTTACCGGATAATCCGGATTAGTGAAGTCTGGTTTATTGAGGCTTTGTTTTAAAAGAAATACGTCTTTCTGTAGATACCATCAAAAGTTGGAACTTTTTTAAGAAGTTAGAAATATCTTTCAAATCTTTCCTTAGAATATTTCACATGGTTGGCAACATTACACATCGAATCCAAGTAGAAACTACGCACTTTAACAGTTAATCATCAGCTGCGTTAAATGGACTACCTTTTTATTGTGCCATGTAATATTCCACATAAATGTAATAGCTGGGATACCTTAATCTTAATTCAGAATTTCGTTAATATAATCGAATTGTAATCGTATATGTGAATGTACATTTATTTATGACAAATTATATTATGATTTATCATGAAACATGTTTGATATATAGACAGCTATAAAATACGTCGCCTTTTAAATCTAGGTACTAAATCCTAGCTATTTATACTAGTATTAAAATCTTATAAAGACAATCAGCTGATGTATAGAGTAACTTCGGGTAATGTGGACTATGTGTCTAATGTGGACCACCCCCATATCTAAGAAAATGCTTGAAATCATAGACTAATGAAGATATAGACGACGAAATACTCAAAAAATGCGCAGTCAAGTGACTCAAAATAAAAAACTCAAAAATTGTTTAAGACGTTTTTTGGGGAAAATGGCCTATTTTTCTTTAATGTTTTTATCTGAGGATATAGTTTTTGCTTAAAACTAACTATATTTAGTGGCATTCCAAATTAAAAAGTTCAAACATATAAGGAAATCAGCATTTAAAATTGAGTAGCGCATTCAGCAGACTCAATTCAGAGAGGACTGGTGAGAGCATTTCGTCGTCAATATTTTCATTAGTCTATGCTTGAAATATGTCAATGCCGCCTTGATAAATGATTTCCTAATTAGTGAAAACAAACATCAAACTTGGTTTTTAATAAATAATTGCAATGTTAAAAATTTATTAGTAGAAAATGTAGCTCTGATTTTAAATGTGTGATTTGGGCATTTTTTTCGCACAATGGTCGAACGTTTTTGCAAAAAAAGTTGAACACTTTGTTTTTGTCGAATATAAAAAAAATTATGTGGTTTTCTTGTTTTCTTTAACAAGAGTACACGTTTAGCTGTAATTACAATCGGTGATTTTTAATTTTTATTCATTTTTGAAGATAATTATTTTATAATAAAAATATTCAATGTCGTGTAATGTGGACCACTATAAAAAGTGGGACCTTTTCATGAGGAAGAGTTCAAAACAAGGGTGAATTTAATATGCGAGGAGGTATTCTATCCTCTGAAAACTCGATATGCGAAATTACAGGTGCTTCGGTTGGATAATGAAGCAAGGACCTTCAAAATACCGCAAATGGGCCGGTACCCTTAAATGGGGGCTATTCCAAAACATTAACCCATATATTTTTTGCATTCATTGTTACCCAAGAGTGCAACAAATTTAAGTTTATCACAAGCAAACCACTACCTACTTTTAAAAGTTACTCTAATAAGCATTTTTAATTCCGCGTAGTTGATCACATAGTTTTTGTAATTCTAATAGGTGAAGCATTTTATTTTAAAATATTTTATGCATTGTGACAAAAATATTGTTGTCTACCAAAAAAATGTATAATATTTTTATTTATTATTTATTTGAGATCATTTATAAAGTTTACATTTCATTTGAAATTCCACGAAGCTAATAATTAGCTTGTCTGTGGGAACAGAAAATTTAAAAAAAATCACAATGCATATTAGAATATTTAAAAACTACATTTTTCATCATATATAGATAAATTGCTATTAGAATTACAAAAAATAAAAATAAAAAAAAAAAAAAAAAAAAACACTTGCCAACTAAGTGGAATTAAAGATGTTTATTTCGCGTAAACAAATATCAGCTGATTGTCTTTATATAATTTTAACCTAGTCTTTACAGCTAGAATTTAGTACATTAACACTATAAAAGCTATAGTCTATAGCTATAGTCTATAACCGTATTTAGATGTTGATCAAATTAATTGATGATTATTTCCAAACTGAACTATAGTTTTTTAGGAATTTTTAACCTCCATTTGTATTTTTTAATCAATTTTCAATTAAATCGAATTTATTTTTTGGGTGTGATAATATTAGTATTATAAATATGTTTCAGTTTTATTGCGACGTGTGTCCGTACATTAAATATTTTGTTGTGAGGGAGGTATTTTTTTAGGTTTTTTTTTATCTATAAAAAACGTAGTACTCAAAGATAGAGAAACACTCACAGGTTCACACTTCTCAAATTTCAATTTGAAAAGATATGTGTGCAGTTTATATTTCACTCATGGATGAGTGTTTCCCCCCATTAAATGTATGCGCCTCAAAGTATGCTCTACAAATGTAATATATAAAAAATACAGCATTAACCCATGGAGTACAAGAAACATGTTTCTCTACAAGAAGACAGCTTGTGGCAAAGCAAATTAAAATTTGGTATACAAATTCGGAAAATGAAAGATTCTTGCAGGATGTGGAATAGAGCACATATCGTTCATTCGTTGCAAAATCGGCAACTTCGTCGTGTAGGTACCGAATATTATTGGCCATTTTTGGTTGAAAATCTCCCATACTGTCAGATTTTTGTTAACGTTTTCATCCGATTAAGTCAAAATTGAAAACATTTTGACAGATCGGTTGAAATCGTCTGGCTTATCGGACAACCTTTTTTTGGGCCATGAGTGAGAAGCTGTAGAATTTCCTCTGTTGCTTGTGTCGTGTGAGTAAACTGAAAACTTAAAACGCATTTTCCGCAAAATCATTTTTTTATTTATGCCGGTCTTGCAGCAAAAGAAAAGAGTTATATGTTGTGAAACAAATGTGTATTCTCAAATTGTCCATAAAATATTTGACATGCTTTACTTTTTTTGGAAATTATACAGAATTACATTAGGCAATTTTATTTGCCTAAATTGTCAGTTTGTGGGCGAGAGAGGTGAAGGGTTACCATTCCCATCAGCTTTTTCACTTACAAAACACAAAATTGGGCCAATTAAAATTGCGTAATGAAAATCAAGACTTATATATATTTTGCCCAGAAAAATAGAAGCATGAATTATTTTAACTATTATAAGTGCCAAGTTCTATTACAAATTTCCCATAAATTCAACTGCTTCCGCCCATTTAAAATACGTGTTAATTATCATTTCAATACAAACCATTACAGCTTATAACTAGTAAACTTGTGACAGTAGTCACTTTCAATAACTACTTATAATTCAATTCAATTTAATCATACTCACTTGATAATCTGTCAACACTTTCGAAGCGCCCTTCCACTTTTGAACGCAACGAATCTAAATCGAATGGCGCCGCAAGGCCGTGATCAACACTGCGTGATTTACTCCTAAAAAAATAGAAAAAAAACACACACATAAATATAAATATTAATAATTTATATATGTGATCAAATATGACAGATTTCATCAATAAAACAAATTATTTACAACAAAATTATTGATAAAATCTGTTGGTTTTTTTACACAATTTTTCAGAGATACAATAAAAAAGATCATTTTCTCAAAACAAGTGGAAATAACCAAGTATAGAACTAGAGATGTCATTTATGTTACATTGTGCGTTGTTTCATTAACATTTTTATGTAGATTTGATTTAGTTTTCTTTTTATGGAATTGGAACATTTAATTGCAATTTAATTGTTGTTTGTGAAAATAAAAACAAAAAACAACAACAAAACTTAAATGAAATTAAACCACAATTTTTTTTGTTAACATAATATGTTTATATGTATGTATGTATGTATAAATATAGGCATATTATGTATGCGTCATATTGACATCGTTGTAGATTATGTTTACTTTTGCCAAATATTTCAATGTGAACCACCTTTAATCTACTGATGTATGTTTGGGACACAAAATAATACAACACATCACAATTTGTAAGGAATTACAATTGTTTTACGTTTTAATACTTAATAGATATAAACATCATATACATTTGGTTTTATGTGAATGCCCTTATTTCAGAAAAAAATAAAAATCGAAAAAGTCCTTGCATACCGATTTCGTAAACATATTTGTGTTTGGTCGGAAAATGAGGTCACTATATCTAACTCAAGGCCGATTAATAAGTTCATCAAGGGAGATCAGCTGCCTCTCAAGTTTGACGTCAAAATATATTATTGTGAATTGACTTCTATTATGAAAACGTAAACAAAGTCCACATTTTTGACGATAGACTTGAGAAAGGGCAATTGACTTTCGCTTGCTCTTTATTTCGCTTTCTTCGTGGTAGATTTTATGTTCAACAAACAGCTGATGTAAAGATTTGTCATGTCAAAAATATTTACAAAAAAAAATACCCTATTTACACAATTATCGTAAAACTTAATGCAGTAGTATTATATTGTAGTATTGTATTGTTCGATAAATCTACGAAAAAAATTCGTCGATTTTCTTTCATAATAATGTTGTTATTTGTTTTAGATCGCAATTTTTTGGGAGATCACTGCACCAAAAGCTGTTCTGTTCTACGTACCTTTATTAATCCATCTTTATATTCTTTTGATGTATTCCCTTGCAGCAATATTCTGTTAGTTTTTACTATATTTTTCGACTTCATATTGTAATTCCTATTTGTAATTAAAATTATTAATAAACTGCAATTGAGTTGTATGCAAATCAAACAGAATCGGCTGAATAAGCTTAATTTTGTTGCCAAAAATGAATTATTGTGAATGAGAGTTCACACTTATACGGCATTTACATTAGAGCTTTTTACCGGGTTAACCTACTTTATGAGGATTTATTTGACATATATTCAATGGAATTGAAAATTTAAACTTAGAAGCCGTAAATATCATGACCCATTAATAAAGTTGTTGTTGCACGAGCCCATATTGTCCTATGTGCTGTCAGTTTTTCTCTACATACGACATTATTTATGTATGTCAAAATGGGCCACACGACATGTACAGTATTCACATATGTACAATTTGACAATACATATGACACTGATGGCTCGTGTATCAAGGCCTTAAGGTCACCCAGGGAAAATCAGATGCTTCTCAAGTTTGCTGTCATTATTGTGAATAGGTGCTTCTCAAGATTGCTGTCATTATTGTAAATAGACTTCACATTATGAAGTCAAAAATAACGTTTAAATTTTTGACATTTAACTCGAGAAATGACATCTTATAAAATCTTATGATATATCATTCTTAATAATTGTCATTCAAAACTAATTGTGTGTACACAGCTTTTTAAGAATCTACTGTTAAGGCACGTTCACACTATATCTAGGTTTAATTGATAATTCTAGTTAATTTACCTCGATTTACCCTACAAAATTAAATCCACTCCTTATCTCGATTTGCTCAAACCCTGCGGACTAGTGTTTGAGAAACCTTCAAACACTAGTCCGCTTTTGCACCAAAAAATGCATCACTCCTCCCAAAAAGTACCAAAATGGTAACGCTTGTATTATATTTAATATTTGTATTACATTTTTATTATAATATTTATTTATTGAAACAAACGCAAATTTTATCTACTGCTGCATTATTCTAACCAGACTACTAAAAAAGTCGTGGCAATGTAAAAATGTTGCTGACCATTTGCGAACAGTAGTCTAAAGTGGTACTTCTGGTCAAGTGTTGTCGTTTGTTTGTTCAATTGATGCATTGTCCTTTTATGTTTTCTTATCATTCCGCATCTTTAGATCATCGATAAGATTTCAATAAGTTTTTATTTATGTGGCGAACTTGAATGACACTTTTTGTATTCAATGTAATTGCAATGCTCCAGTGTTTTTTTAGACAAAGACAAAAGGAAATGGGTAAAGCAGAATAATATGGCTTTATGCCGTAATGTATATGACAGACTCAAGTTTTCCTAATTGAAAGTTCAGCTATAATTTGGATGTTTTATTCATATAATCATGATTAAGGAGATGACATGTAAACGTAGCTTTAACTTCTGAAGTTATAAATTCATTAAGGCCAAAGTAGAAATGTTCTGTTTCACATGTTTCACATTCATCCTCGAATATTACTAAATATTTGTCATTTAAAAATTGTTTATAACTTTCCAACTAATTTTGAAGATAACTTCGTAATTGTAAATAAACAAACAAATGTCAAAAAACGCGAGCCATGACGCACGCCAAATCACTCTTTGACACCAACTTTGCTTTGGCCCTTGGATTTTAAATTTAAAATGCTAAATATTTCATATTTTCATCTTACATTTAAAAGCTATCTACATTTTGTACAGACCAAATATTTGATCCTAATATATATGAATATATCGATGATCAAATCTTTGGGGAACATATTTTGTTTTATTTTGTACCTGTTAATATAGTACGCAAAATTGCACTCATTAAATCGCATTTAATAAATAAAAATCCCAAGTGTCCACTTGTGTTGTCAATCACATGTTTGACAAGTCATAATTTTTTGATGTTCTTTGTTATCGGCAATTAAACCCAATGCTATCTAATAATGAACAGTTTATAATTGTTACATTTGTTAATATATGTCAGGGATGGATAGATAACTTCATTGAAGTCTATTTGACATAAGGAAGTTTAAAATTTTTTACAAAAATGTACTTCTTTGTTTTTTATTTATATTTTTAGCATTGTATTAAGCAGATAGTGGACAGATGATAGTTTTCTTGTTTCTTGTTCTTGTAGTTGTAATATATTTTAGTGTTCTATAGTCGATAATATTTGGTATGTTCCCGTACTTCTAGATTTTACTATTTTCTTCGATAACATAAAGGAAAATTTGTTATCGTAGTAAAAAATAGTAGATTCTTGCAGTACGGGAACAGACCAATTGTTTTTCTACTTTTTATTTCAGTTCAATAGGTAGCGTAATAGTAAAGGAAGTCTATAATTTGTCAATTTATTTCATCTCCTTATTACTGCAATGAAAGCGCCTAGTTCGCACGCTCCATTCAGTGAATGGTTTGATTGAACTGCAATACAAAATTCTGCTTTTAATTTATCAGCCGCCTCTCAAGTTTTCTGTCAAAATCTATTGACGTCCATTAAGAAAACTTAAACAACGTCAACATTTTTTACATTAGACTCGAGAAAAAAACAGCTGACTTTGGCTTGCTGGGAGACCTTATTAATTAATCTTGATGTCAACTCTATATCATATAAGTATAGTAAATCCTCTTCATAAATACAGTCGATTTTATTTGACGTGTGCTCTATAGTATTTACTTTAGAAAGCGAGTGGATTACATTTAACATTAAACTTGTGAAGTGAAATTTTAGAACATAATTTTGAACGTGGGATGAATTTTACCCTTATATATTTTCTGAAATATTTTCTATACAGATTACATTGTCCTACAATATTTTGTATTGTGTGTGTGTTTTTTTAGTTAATGTTTCATCAAAATATAAAATAAACTTGTCTCAATTCACAAATTTCATTCATATAAACAATCCTGAACTTTATTTCATATACTTTGTGAAATAATGTGAAATATATGAGCAAATGGGTACTTGCGCAAGCAAGTACTTATTGCTGCCGAATGAGCCATGAGCTGTATCATCTATTCTACGACATCGACATAGTCATCTCAAAAGGCATATAAAAGCAAACCACCTGATGGTTCACGCAGAATGGGAAGGTCGCGAGTTAGAAGGAAAGATCAAGTGGAAGACAACATTGCCGAATATGGTCTTTCAAATTGGAAGAACAGCGCAAAAGACCTACGCGCCTGCAAATCTTTATTAAGCTCGGCTTTTGGAACAACCGTTCTCTCCCAAGACAGATAAGTATATGAGCGAAGAAGTAAAATTACCCCACTTCCAAAGTTAAAGGTTATAAGCATAATGCAAAAAAACCTTTGTTTTTGTCTGGACCATCTGTCAAATTTTTTCATATAATATTTCACATGGTTGGCAACAGTGCACATCGAATTCAAGTAGAAATTACTCATTTTGACAGTTAATCAAGTCATTAGCTGCGCTCATGGCACAATGAATAGATAGTCCATTTAGAGCAGCTGATGTCTTTATTATCTGTGAAAGAGCGTAATTTCTACTTGAATTCGATGTGCAATGTTGCCAACCATGTGAAATATTAAAAGGAAAATTTTGACAGATGTTCGAGACAAAAACAAAGGTTTTTGTTTTGATACATCAGCTCATTATTGCATCGTGGCTGCGCTAAATGGGCTATCTATTTATTGTGCCATGGTTATACGATTAGCATTTAATGGAAATGGTAACACCATAATAGGGATACGTAAGACGACTTTTTAACTTACCCCACTTCCAAAGTTATAGTTCGTTTACATTTAACCAGATTTCGTTAACCCAGTGGGTTTCAATTGTCAATTCCTTTGCATATAAAGTAGGTTAAAGCGGTAAAAAGTTATAATGTATATGCCGTTTTAAAGGTTATATGCTTAACTTTTAATGTAGGTGGCAACGCCATAATAGGCATACGTAAGTCGACTTTTAAACGTTTTGTATTGGAAGTCGATGTCGACTTTAAATCATGGTGGAAATCGCAAAGTGAAATTTTCATGACCGACTTCTTTTAAGTTTGGTTTTTATCATGCAATCCTTATAACATCAAAAAAAAAACATAACAGATTTTTTTTAAATTAATTTTAATCATATGAAAAAAATATTGCCATGATACACAACTCCATTGCTACTGTTCTTTCCCCTAACTTCAATCAAGCTTTGCAATCATATATTCGAATGTATTAAACAATTAATTAAATCATAGTTGGTTTTTTAATTGAAGTAATGTTTCTATGAAAATTACTTACAAAAACCAGTGACTTAATTCTCTTTTTAAAAATGTTTTCCCTTAAATCCTCGTTTTTTTAATTGTACATTTTCTAAAGTCAAGTTAATATAAAGTTCACAATCACATAGATCTGTTTACCGGTTGATTCACCCCAACGAAGTTATACGCATTTATTTCATTGGTTATTTCCACTTTGTGTTTTACAATAAAAAAATTATATGTATTTATATACATATATTATAAAAAATGTTCTTAATTAAAATTTAAATTTTTTTATTTGCTGTAGCTAAATAAATTAACAAAAAATATATATTAAAATACATGCAAAAGGTTCATGCACACAAAACATGTACATACATATTTACAAACATTTATACATAGACATATCATAAATATAAATATATATTTACATAATAAAAAATAACACACATGCCAATTTTGCGTTAAACTAGATAAAACATTAGATTTATTTTTATTAGATTTAATGTGTTTTCATTGTGTGTGTGTGACTTAAATTAAAGCTTAAGTGTATGTGTGTACGTGTATTGTTTGTTGTGTGTGGTACTTACCGGCGTACTGGAATTGATAAATTGTCAAAACTGCGTGACATAAGCGATACATCTTGACTAGCCCTACGTGACCTATGTAATTTAATAAAACAAAACAATTGAAATAAAAAAATCATAAAAAAATAAAAAAAAACTTAAAATAAAAAAATGTAATAAACTAAAATAAAACAGAACTATCTAATTTATATATACCCAGAATAAAACAATACCTCGGAATACTACACATATTTTGATTGTTCAACAATTTCTGTATTGCGCAAGGTCAAGAAGTTGAAAGGTAATGAATTACAAATCTTCTTGGTGTGAATATGTTTTAAAATTTTCGAAATTTTGTGAAAAATTGCCTTTATTACCCATTCGAAACGAATATGATGAAGATTCATTAACAACAATATATAATATAAGTTTTTTAAAATCTTCAAGATTCAGGAAATCCTGCCTCATATTGCCAACAACTGACCTTGTTTTTGTATGAAATGGAAATCAGAACCAGAGATGGTCCGTCAGAAACAGTGACGTAAATTACATACATTTCCGACGTATAATACATACGTCAGAAACGTCGGAAACCTAACCAAAACCTTTAGGTTTTTGACAAAATAGCTATTTCCCTTAATCAATTTGGAAATTACGTATGCTTTACTTAAATCCGTATAAAATTTCAATATTTTCTTTTCCAAAATGTTAAGAATTTTTTTATCAGTTATAGTAAGGAATAGTCAGATATATGTAAAAATAATATATATTCATGAAAATAACTGTATATGGTAATAATATTCAAATAAATGACGTTTACTACATTTATTACATTTTATACAGGTATATGACGTTTTCGACGTTTACACCTTTTTGACAGTCGAAAACCTAAAAATTCGTCACACTGACCATCCCTGATCAGAACGCACACCTTCTTCAATGCGATAACTATTCAAGATCACGAAATAGACACATAAATCGCCTCTGAAAAGAACAATTGAGATGAACGAGAAAACAAAAACCTAATATCTTCTTTTAAATAAGAGACAAAGAACAAACAATTATTGTTGATCGGTAGTGTTGTGGGTTTCAGAAACAATGTTGCCTTTTTTAATATGACATATCCGTTGAAGGCCAGAATGGTGTACGTGACAAATGTCCCATCGACAACCTCTTGCAGTTAGAAATAAAAAATAATTATGTTCATACTTCAGAAACAATTGGGCGAACTTGTTAGGAGGTGACAATATGTTATACTCATGTTGTATACTAATAGTACGTTTACATTTAACCGGATTTCGTTAACCCAGTGGGTTTCAATTGTCAATTCCTTTGCATGTTAGTCAAATAAATCCTCATAAAGTAGATTAACCCGGTAAAAACTTCTAATTTATATGCCGTTAAAGATTCGAATATGGCATATTGTTATTTGGCTATCTGCAGGTGGAATTGAACCTCATTGTTATGTTATAGGTTTCCAAAACCTCATTTTGAAGAATTGGAACCACAAATTGTAATGTTCTGCATAAATTATTAATAAAAGTCTTCTATATTTGTCCACCCAAAAATGGCTGACATTTCTGATTCTGATATTTCGTTAAAATTCCAAGTTAACTTATATTACGTTTACATTGTACCGGTTTTATTCCTTTTATTCATTACATAAATTTCAACAAAATCCTTATAGATTGGTTAGAAGTTCTAAGGTAAATGCAGTTTTAAGAAGCCGCATTTCTATATTTTAAGTAATAATTCCTAAAATATGCGGTCAAAATCCTGTTCATTATGAAAATAATTTCAAAAACAACACAGTTTTTGTACCAACAAATGTATATCTTTTCCTAAAAGTACCAAAATATGAAATGTTTTTTACTTTTAAATTAAAATTTCACATTTTGAAAATATCGGCCAGCTACGTGGAATCAGAAATGTGTAGCTTTAAGTAAACAAATATCAGCTGACTGACTATATCAGCTGACAGTATTTAGTTCCTTTGATTTACAAATCGGGTTGATTTAGAAGGTATTGTCTAAAATCGCTTTATTAAGGACATACATTTGAATGGAACGTTTTTTAAACCTATATGAAATGAATCTGAAAATTTAAATGTTAAATTATGGTTTAAAGTAAAACACGTCTTGTGTAAATGTAGCATTAAGGCAATATTTATTTCAGGCATATGCTCTGTTCCAGTACTTTTTTAATAGTAAAGCTAGTAAAAGGGAAAAATGTCAAACTCGCTCTAAGAGTACCAAATAATTTGAAAAGTTCGGGAACGGAAATCTAGTAATATATTAGGTGGCAATACTTCAAAATCAACATAACAGCGAATCAGCATTCCTGATTATAATTTTACTTGGACACATTTTTTGAGTAAAAAGTTTAGAAAGAGAACGTCTTATTGTTTTGTGTTCTCTTAAACTTGGTTAAAGTTTTACTAGATTTGTGAGTTGAGGAACGGGTTTCGAATAAAAAGTTGAAAATTTTGTAAATTTAGCAGGTTCAGGAACGGAACTATAATGTGCAAAGATTGGTCGTTTCTTTAAAAAAAATAACACGTTTGGCATAAACGTGCATTTCATTATATGTTTAATCTGGAAAATCAGCTGATCCTTCGACGAGCTGTCAAAATAATTTCTATTTTAACCGCATGGTTTCAATCACAATTTACTTAGCTCCATGCATAGTAATTGAAGGCAGTATATACTGAGGTGTATAAGAAAAATCAGCTCTGCGTGTCTAGGTCCGTTTGATATAAAAAATGTTCGCAACAAGTTGTTGTGTTGATTTTGATCAAGATCTTAAATGTGGTCACCCAGCAGGCTCAAGTATAATGGCAAACATTTGCTTTTTTACGTTTTCATAATGAAAATCAATTCACAATAATGGATTTTGACAGCAAACTTAAGAAGCAGCTGATATCCAGCAGGTCTCCTTGGATGGCCTTATTAATAGGCCTTGATTTTGATTATTGGAATTGTAATCAGCTGTTAGCCATACCCTGCCTAAAGAAGTACATTGTGATACTTATTTGGAAATTGATCATTGTTGTCCAATAACATGTATTTGTTATAAGAAACATAGAAAACCTATCCTGATACAAAATGATAGCTTCCAACTCTTACAATAAGACTATGTTTACATCAAACGTGTTTTATGAAAATAACTTATTTGATTTATATACATTTCTATTGGTGTAAACATAGTTTATGTTGTTTATGTTTTTAATTTAAAATTGTATTTATATTTGTTTCACTTTTTCTTTATATTGCTGCGTTCTTACCAAAATTGCTGTGTTGTCGTAACAAAATTATTCATTTTCGTTGACAATTCACTTTTTGTTTTATTGTCCAGTGTAAATAAACAATTCACTTTCACACAAAAAAGTATACAAGTATGCTTTTGTTTTTCAGTTAGTTTAAGTTAAACATTCAAGGTTATATACATTTATGGTTAAATTTGATTTATTAGCACTTTTGTTATAAGTATCACTTAAAGAAGTTCTTAGTGGTGATGTTTAATTGCCCTCTTTATGACATTTTAACGGTGACAGTTCATTTGTTATTTATTATCTATAAAAAATAATAAATTGTTATATAGTAAAAACAAAATATCTAGTTTGTTTCAGAAATTAATTTTAGAAATAATTAAAATTCCTATTAATGCAGATATAGTGTGTGTGTGTGTTTTGTATTCATTATGTTCATATCATAATTAAAATCAATAAAGTTTTCAGATCTTCAAGTAGCAATTCCCCTCTCTCTTCACCTTGCGTATACTTGTGTTATAAAAATATACTAGAATAACAAAGGAACAAAATGAATAATTTAATGTCTGGCGTTGTCACGGGTTCTGCGGTAGTTGTATACCGGCATATGCCCGGCATAGTCTCTCTGTTGTCTCATTGAATGAATGGTTTAATTATTATTTCGATCACGTGAATTGCAAACAGAACTTATGAAAACCATACCCACTACTCTGTTCTTTTTCCTCTTCTTCCGATAGAACTAAATAATAACAATAAAAAAACAAGTCAACAATAAGACAGGACAAGTTTGTTTACAGTGATAAATATGTAGGAAAGGTAGATAAAATGAAATATCCATCCATTGTGTGCCCATGTGTGTAGTTTTCTGGAAGTATCTATTTATAGTTTTCTTTCTTTCAGGAATATCCACAAAGTAGTACGTGATCAAAATTTTAATATTATTGCAATTAAAAGGGAAATAAAATTATAAAAAAACTCTTTATTGATCACCATAAATATATTTACTGCAGTTAAATAATAATTTTAATGTATATCTTATGAAATCATCATTTTAATAATTAATATTTGACAAATGACTAAAATTTGTAGACACAAATGATTAATGTTTGCCAAATATTATATTTGACAAAAGACAAAAAAAAACTATACTAGAAATTAAGGTGTTAATTGAAGTTAATTAAATAGCAAATATTTGAGAAATATTAATTTCAAATTTAGCACAAGTTGTTTTTGAAATATATTTAGAAATGCAGACATTTTTATATTTACTAATATTACACAATATTTTGCTAAACCAAGATGTACTAATTAGGCCACCCAGCTAACAAAAGTCAGCTGTTTTATGTCAAAAAAGTTTGTTTATGTTTTCACAATAATGGATTTTGACAGCAAACTTGATAGGTAACATAGCTGATATCCAGCTGGTCTCTCTGAATGACCTATGAAAAATGTTGTCTGAAACTCATATGCAAACCGAATAAATCAGCTGTTTTATTAGTTTGGCAAAATAAAATACATTTGTAGAAGAAAATGGCTTGAATTAAGCAAACTTGAGAAACAGCTGATCTTCCTGTGTTACCTTATTAATAGAACCTGTTGTTGTATAGTCAGTAATCGATAAAAAATTGACCGTCCAAAATAATAGTGTCTACTTCCCTTTAAGTAAATAAAGACTTTGTTTATACCAAAAGTAATAAAATTAATATATGTTAATAGCAAAAGTCAGCTGTTAATTCTTAAATCTAATGTCAACAATTTTGACTTTGTTTACGTCAACTCAAAATAATGGATTTTGATAGCAAACTTTAGAAGCAGCTGATATCCAGCT